GTCACTTTTTTCAGTAGATTCTCAATCTTTCTCTCTGGTTTCTTATTACCATCATGAACAGAAAACATTTAATGTGTTTCTTTCAGTGCCCTCTGAACCTCAGCAGCCATGGTCATTGGTTTCACATACTATCTGATATTTGTATATGATGTCTGAATAGATCACTTAGCTTTGGTAGTAAAGCCTCCAAAGTTTATCTTCATGCTTGCTCACAGACTTCTCATCATTGCCGAGCCAAAAGAGAAATAAAACAATGAGTTACTAGGAAATCACTTGACATATTTGTAGTGCTATCCTGCAGATCACAATTGCATTTGCTTGATGCTTAAGAACTATAGTCCATAATATCTTGATTTATCTCTTTTTTCTTCTTATCAACTCTTTTTCCTCAGCCCTCTGTCACGGCAGGATCTTGTGAGTTGGAAGATGGCCTTGGAGAAAAGACAGCTTCCAGAGGCTAACCGAAAGGTCACTTACATGTTAAGCTTAGTTGAAGTTCTTTTTGTCACAAGTACCCCTAGATTCATGTAACCGCAGAAGTATTTTGTAAATCTTAGATTTTCTTCATTTTGCAGATCTTGTACCAACTTTCAGGTTTTATAGATATTGATAAGATAAATCCAGATGCATGGCCTGCCCTTGTAGCTGACATATCTGCTGGAGAACAGGGAATAATAGCACTTGCTTTTGGTCTGTGACATTCACATTTAATCACTTTTTATGTATGTCACCTTGATTCTCTAATCATATGCATATTTAATTGTTATCATAGGCTGTACAAGACTGTTCCAGCCAGCTAAACCAGTCACTAAAGCCCAGGCTGCTGTTGCTCTTGCAACTGGTGAAGCTTTTGACATAGTCAGTGAGGAACTGACACGTATTGAAGCTGAATCTATGGCAGAAAATGCTGTTTCTGCACATAATGCCCTAGTAGCTCAAGTTGAAAAGGACATTAATGCTACTTTTGAGAAGGAGCTTTCCATGGAAAGGGAAAAGATTGACGCCGTAGAAAAAATGGCAGAACAGGCAAGATTGGAGTTAGAAAGGTTAAGAACACAGAGAGAAGAGGAAAACATTGCCTTATTGAAGGAACGAGCTGCTATTGAATCGGAGATGGAAGTTCTTTCAAGGTTACGGCGTGAAGTAGAAGATCAGTTGGAAAGTCTTTTGAACAACAAGGTGGAGATATCATACGCAAAGGAAAGGATTAACAAACTTCGGAAAGAAGCAGAAGATGAGAACCAAGAGATTGCCAGGTTACAACATGAGCTGGAGATTGAACGAAAAGCCTTGTCTATGGCCAGGTTAGAAAGAAAGTAAATTTTTTTTAAGCTGTTATGAATCTTTGGTCTTCATTGGTGATGATATAGTGGATAAGATAACCCTAGAATATTCAGTATTTGGTTTGTGAAAGTATCGTATTACAAAATGTGTTGGATCGTGCTTTCAATTAGAAAATTCGCTTCTTAAAAGTTTAGTCCTTTGTAAGAAGGTATGTTGGACAGGTAGAGAAAACATTGCTTATAAATGAAATTTCGGTTCATTTTGACAATTTAAAGTTTGTAACCATTTTAGTTGTCCATAAGCTAAGAGTTTGGCAGCAGTCTATAAGTGGGCCCCTAAATTTTATGTTGCAGAAATATTTATCTTCGAAGATGTTAGTGGCAGATATGTGCAAGTCTGACTAAATAGGTTACCTTGTGTGCTTCGTTGTCTAACCTGCAAATATCTATTCACTCCTAAAAAAACTTGTTTTTGCTGTTTGTATCTTTGATATAACTTTTGTCTCCCAGGGCATGGGCGGAGGACGAGGCAAAGAGAGCTAGAGAACAAGCAAAAGCCTTGGAGGAGGCTAGGGATCGGTGGGAGAGACATGGTATCAAAGTAGTAGTTGATAGTGATCTCCGGGAAGAGAGCACTGCAGGAGTTACATGGCTAAAAGCCGGAGAGCAATATTCGGTCGAAGGAACCGTACACAGAGCTGAAAGTTTGGTGGATAAGCTTAAGATACTGGCAGATGGTATAATAGGAAGATCGAGAACAATAATCAATAAGATCATCCAGTACATCCTTCATCTGGTTGCAATTTTAAAGGATTGGGCTTCTGTTGCGGGTAAAAAAGCTGAAGAACTGAAGGAAAACACCAGTACAAAAACCGAGGAACTTAAAGAAGCTGCCGTCTTAAAGGCGAGGGGATCGATACAAGAGTTGCAGCAAAGCACAGCCCAGATTAGCTTTGCAGTCAAGGAAGGTGCAAAGCGGGTTGCTGGAGACTGCAGGGAGGGAGTCGAAAAACTCACCCAGAAGTTCAAAACCTGATCTCTCTAATCCAATTTAGTAAGCACTTTTACCTGCCATTGATGCTGAGAATCGGCAAATGTAAAACTTGTGCTGTTTGTATTTTCCTCCCATATTTGCCCCTAGAATCCAGATTTTGTAGCTTGCGCAAGGTCTCAGTAGGACACCGGTGGTCGTTGAGCTTCGTTTTCGACTTGCTGTGTTCTTGAATTGGATGTAATAACCTTTTATCCCTGCGAGGAGCATCTTGCGATTTACAAAATTTTCTTAGCTGAAAATCTCATAAGATTTTAATATGTTTTCTTTATATTATATCTGATACATAATTGAATTAATTCAATATACGTATTTAATTAAGCAAATTCAAGTCAATATACAATTAATTTAAAATCAATATATTAATTATAGCGTCATATTATTAATTTTCTTTTATAAAATTAAAATAAATCCATACGAACAGCTGTAACGCAATTAAATAAAACGCTGATTACAAAGTTTTGTCTTATAAGCACGTGATTTACGAATCTAAGTTTTTAACGAACCTTCGTATTACGGTAAAAGATTATAAGTACAACTTTTAGAAAATTACTTTAATTTTTTTATACTTTCTACTATTATTTTTTATAGAAAATTCAAATAAATTTTAATTAAAAAGCAGTTAATTAATTAACGCACATATCACAACTTCCAGAAGCTCTTGCACGAGATCTAATTATACATACAAATTATACAAAGCATGCGGACGAACCAGGCATGACTGGTAGGTTCATTTTTTACTCGTACGTGTAAATTACTAACCTCGGTGCTCTAAATTCATCTTCTTTGTTGACCAAGGCTGGTATCTGGGCGCCTGTTGTTTTCCTCTTCTCTTCCGTTCAATCATGAATTCTCATCGTCGCTTCTCGCTCGACGTATTTCACTGCATCGAATTAGAATTTCTAACAATTGGAGTGATCAGCGAAAACCCTTCTGCTGCAAGTTTCAATCTCTAGATGTCTCCTTGAGTTGCAGCAGTGTACTGCGAATTTCGGATTTTCGGTGAGCTTCTTGCTCGATTTGGAATCCATTACTTGTGATTTTCTTTCGAGGGAAGCGGTAGCCATTTTTATTACTTACACCACTACTTTCTCGAGGTCCTCTCGCGTCTGATTTCACTTTTGATAATTACTGCTGTCGCTGGGTTGATTTGCTCTTCCTGCTTCTTAGTTTGTTCAATCTCGAGCAGGCGTTAATAGTTTTGATTTATAATTGTCATTTGTTTTTCTCAAGTCAATTAGATACTTATTTGAAATTCTTCATTCTCCGCATCTAGAAAAATGCTGAAATACAAAATCTTTACATTACCCAGTTGAATTGTGTAATCGAACTTCGGAACCAAATTTGAATATCCCCATTCTTCTCCCTGTATCTATGTTATTACTCTCAGTTGATGTGAAGTCAAGCTCTGTGGAATCTATTTTTGCATCTTGGACGGTAGGCATCAATGTCTATCATATGTGGCCTACCTCTTCTCGAGTGTGTTTACTGTCTGGCATGTGCACGCTGGGCGTGGAAAAGGTGTCTCCACACTGCTGGTCATGATAGTGAGACTTGGGGCCTTGCAACTGCTGAAGAATTTGAGCCTGTCCCTCGCCTATGCCGATATATTTTAGCAGTCTATGAAGAAGATCTTCGCAACCCGCTTTGGGAACCTCCTGGAGGTTATGGGATCAAACCAGATTGGTTGCTTTTAAGGAAGACTTACAGAGACACTCAGGGTCGAGCTCCTTCCTACCTAATTTATCTTGATCATGACCATACCGACATAGTTCTTGTCATCAGGGGCCTCAATTTGGCAAACGAGAGTGATTATGCAGTGCTTTTGGATAATAAGCTAGGGCAAAGAAAATTTGATGGTGGTTATGTTCATAATGGGTTATTGAAGGCTGCTGGATGCGTTTTGGACTCAGAGTGTGATATTTTGAAGGAATTGGTGGAGAAATATCCAAATTATACTTTAACATTTGCAGGGCATTCCCTTGGATCAGGGGTTGCAACAATGTTAGCATTGTTGGTGGTGCGACATCCGCATAGATTGGGGAATATTGATCGGAAAAGAGTTAGGTGCTATGCCATTGCACCTGCAAGGTGCATGTCATTAAATTTGGCTGTCAGATATGCTGATGTTATTAATTCTGTCGTTCTTCAGGCAAGTATCTGACCTTCTAGCTTTTTGGTGTTTCTTGAAGTGGTAGGAAGAATTTCAGAAGAAGGAAAATGTTTGCATTTTATGAAGCCATACAGCATTGGTTTTTGCATTTTCATGTCCTGCGATGATTTTCTTTTTTAAAATCCTACTGTATTGGAGGATTAAAGGCTGCAGTATTTTTTTCCTACTGGGTGATGCCAGTAGTATTTGCTTTTCCTGGGAAAGAAAATTGAATATCAAGTTAAGGTTCATGTTTGTCATCATCTCTCATTTTTTCGTTGGTAAAACCACCAATATCTGAGTCTTATATTTTATTTCAAAAAAAAATCTGAAATAGATAGATTAAATTTGATAATTTTGTCCTAATATTTCTGTAAGCATGATAAATTATGTTGAGACCAAGGGGGTTCGCATCCATGAAGTGCTTGCTTCCATTTATTTATCATGTGAAATGAGGAGCACCCTGTGGTTTACGAGGACAATTGGCTCCCTTCGTATGGATGCATTGCAGCATCTTAGGTTGTTATATAGGAAGTTCCAATTGATGTTATCTATGCCTAAAAGCAGTGTGCCAATTTGGCACCAGATGATCCTAGTTTCAAACATTGAACTGCCAAGCCCAGCACTGTCTGTCACTTCGGTCCTTATGTTTGATTATATATTTATACTTGAATCAGGATGACTTCTTGCCACGGACAGCCACACCGTTGGAAGATATTTTCAAGTCACTTTTCTGGTATAGTTAAATGTTCTTCGCCCTATTGTACTTAGAAACTTTGCTCAATATTAATAATCACTTGGAACGAAAATTCATTTTGCTATTCCAGTCCTAGAAAGATTAAACCATTATATACCATAAAGATTTACTTTTTTAAAGCACTGCATCAATACGCGAAGTAAAATTAATTTATACTTTTAAATATTGGATATTCTTAAAAGATGAAATCTATGTTTATCTCAAAAAAAAAAAGATGAAATCTATACCTTTCTTTGATCATTTAAAATACTGATGAAGTTTGTTTATCTTTTGTTGAACAGTTTGCCTTGCCTTCTATGCTTACGGTGCATTAGAGATACATGTATACCAGAGGAGAAGATGCTCAGAGATCCAAGGAGGTTATATGCACCTGGCCGTCTCTATCACATTGTCGAGAGAAAACCTTTCAGGTATATTAATCATGCATACTAATCATTATCAGTATACCTATTCAACTGAGTAAAAAAGCTGGTTACCTGATAATTTCCTAAAACAGACAGCAAACATCAATACAAGACACTGTTGGAGCATTTCTCGTCTATTTCCATGGTTAAGATCTAATAAGATGTATAAGAATATTGAACAATTCTCGGTTGGAACAAAGAAAATAGTATGGTGTCTAATTCAAACAAGACTTGCTTTCATCTTACGTCTGTCAACAATCTGATGAATATTGGATAGGTTAGGAAGATTTGCCCCGGTTGTGAGGACAGCAGTGCCGGTGGATGGAAGGTTCGAGCACATTGTTCTCTCTTGTAATGCCACTTCTGATCATGCCATAATTTGGATAGAAAGAGAAGCCCAGAGGGCTTTAGATGTAAGTTTCATGTCCATAACTCTTTTGACTGATTGATGGCTGAAGCAGATAAGGAAAAAGATTCTTTATATAATAGATATACACACACACACACACAAGTTTCTCCAAAGTACTTTTTGGCATGGAGAACAACTTCATCCCATGTGGTTGACCTATTGCAGTTTTATCTTAACAATTTTTTGTGTAATTTGACATTTCAATATCTCTTTATTTGATTTTCTTTAATATAAAAATGTTGGTACTTTAGAAACTATTTACGATTGCTTAAAATTCCAAGCAAGAAGCATGGAAGCTTAATGCTAACCAAATAATAAATAGGGGAAAAACTTAGAAAAATTAAAAGATATAAAGAAAATTTATTTATTTTCTGTAGAATGATAAAAGATTACAGAGAGTACTGAACTTAATTGAACTGCAATTACGTCACACAATAGAGAGTGAAACTGTAATTTTTCCAACTTATCAAGGAATCTGGCTTTGCTGCTTTGCTTGCAAGTGGCAATAATGAGAATATTACTCATTCGAACTGAGATATACTTCTCGGTATCTCAAACTTGGTTTTGTTTTCTCTTGCCCTCAGTTAATGTTAGAGAAAGATCGGATCACGGAGATCCCAGCAAAGCAAAGGATGGAAAGACAGGAGACATTAGCAAGAGAACATAGCCAGGAGCACAAGGCTGCATTGCAGAGAGCAGTTACATTGGCAGTGCCGCATGCAATTTCACCTTCTCAGTATGGAACTTTTGACGAACCCGATGAAAGGGAATCCTCACACTCACAGGAATCTAAGGGCGAATCATCCTTCGGGTCATCCTATTCCGGAAAAAGCAGCAGGAAGGAAAGCTGGGACGAATTGATCGAGCGACTATTTGACAGGGATGAAACTGGTCTTATGGTGCTTAAGAAATCACATAAACATGATAAGTGATGTAATTTTTGAGTGTATGTAAATGATATACATTCAGTTTGTGCCAACCAATATTCCTTCATTCATTTGTAACCTTTCCTGTTGACAAAATAAAATTGTATATTTGCTTCACAATGGAAAATATTCTACTTTACCTAAGAAAGGTGAAAGAACGCTGATGGAAGCAGTCAGAATTCAAAGTTTCAATTTTAACTGAAAAATAATCTCTTACTTTTTTATTTAATTTTTAATATTTAATTCTTATATTAATTTTTAAATTAATTATTCGATTAAATTATATATTAAAATAAATAAATTACTTCTAAATAGCAATTATATTATTAAAAACTAATGATATTACTGATATAAATTAAATTTACAAAAGAATAATGAGTTTAAATATTTTAAAATATATATATATAATTTTAAAATATAAATTAATTTGAAAAGAGTAAAATTAAAGATTTAATGTAATAATTATTGGAAGATTAGAGATCAAAATTAAAACGAATGAGAAGCTTTACCGGTAAATCGATTTTATGTCGGAAGAGAATCTGTTGGTCTTCAAATTCGATCTCAAGAGTTCGCCTCTTTGATTCTCACAATCAGCACCAGCAATGGCTTCCCTTCTTTCCACTTTCCTTCTCTTGCTTTCTGCATCTTCTTTCTCCTACAGTTTCGGCGAAAGGTAAAGGAGAAATCCCGTCTCAGTTCTCTCTTTTTGGCTGTGATTTCCCCAATTCAATAACAGGATAGTATGAAATTTTCGCTGATCATTTTTGTTAATGAATCGGGATTTTCTGTTGCTTCAGTTATCAATTCTCAGTGTCAATTTCCTTGGTATGATGTGAATAAATAGGATGAATAAGCTACGAAGCTGATTTAAAATAAAATGTAAACCTATCGAATTCGGAAAATTGAGTGTCGATTTGTTGTACATGAGCTACTGAATTTGGACGCACTTGTCTCTTTATTTTTAATCCTTCTGGCTTTTTTAAAGAATTGATTATTGCATCTTTGATCGTATACATCAGTAGTAGGAAGGAACTGAGGGATAAGGAAGTCCAGGAGCAGTCACTTGAACAACTGCATCAATATGACAGAATAGACCCAAGACGAGTTTTCCAACTTTCATGGAGACCAAGGTCAGGTACTTTGACGAAATATTTTATTTTGTTTCTTGTGAGTTTTCTCTGATAAAATCTGAAAGTGTGCTGTTCTATTCGGATTGTTATCTCCCTGCAGAAACTCTATAAGATAGAAAACTTTGTATTTTGAGTGTTGATTATATGAATTATTTGTGCATTCACCAATTCGATTACATTACGGCAAATTCATATTTCTTGCAATAGGGTCTTTTTGTACAGTGGTTTCCTGTCAGATGAGGAGTGTGACCACCTTATTTCTCTGGTATTTTCTTGTCCAATTTTGTCAGTGTATAAATTCGATATACCTGGAGTGTCTCAGTTTATTTATGTTCGAGTTGCAGGGGCGAAATGAAACGACTTCAGGATTTGTTAATGATTCAGGGAATACTGGCACAAACAAGCAGTTTCCTAGTCTAAAATCTCAACTAAAAGTACCGGTGAGTTCATATATGCTTCCTTAATTTCTGAATGTGTTTAACGTTCACATTCTTGTCAGCTACTGAGAAAAGTTATAGATGTAAGGGCTAAGTTGTAGTGGAGACAGATCACGGTAGGTTGCTTGACAGCATGGAAAAAGAGAATGAAGGAAGAAGGAAAAGGAAATGAAGATAACTTTCACCATTAGCAATGCAGTCTTGTCTGCGGTGTTTCTAGTTGCTTGTGAAGGATGTTATCTGTCTATTTGGTACTTTAAACAACATATGATACATCTGACTGAAAAATTTCTCCTGTCATATGGTTGCAATTTTATGTTGTTTCTATCTACCATCAATATTTGAACTATGTTAGTAAATAGAGCATTTTTCTGACTAGCTTTAAAAGTGCTGTGGCCGTTAAACTGGTTAACACCTTGATACACAAGCTGAAGTTCTGCAAATCTTGATTCAAATGATGCAAGAATTACATTTATACATGTATGCTGCTTTCATTGATTGTAGGATTACATCGTTGCAAAGATTGAGGAAAGGCTTTCTGCTTGGACTTTTCTTCCCAGAGGTACCAATAATGGTTCTTGTTTGAAGGCAGGTTTGCTATGCTATGGTCCCCAAAATAGATTCTGGTTATGGGGTGCTGACTGTGAATTCTAGGAAACTTCGAAAGAGTTTCCTGATCTCTTTTCTTATTTTCTATGTTTAAGAGAGTGGTAAGGGCTCAATAGAACACTTTGATCTCTTGAGTCTAGAAAGAAACTCTACTTTTTCTTAAAAACAAATTCTGCTTGCCGGCTTATACACAGGGACTGGAAACTTATGTACGGCACCATACACAAATGATTTTGATAAGGATTGGTAACTTCCAAACTGCCTGAGTAACTCTTAAATCGTCTGTAATAACTTTTTCCTAAATCTAATAAAGAAGAACAAATAGTAATAGTTCAACACAAACTGCCAAGGAACTGCAGAAAACTTAATCTATATCTTTCTCGACATTACTGATCTGGCCCATAGCAGCTAACTTTGCTTCCTGTTATACGTTTTTTTCGACTTATTGGTGCTTTTGTGTCTTGCTTGATGTTTGCTGACCTTCAGAAAATGGAGAGCCTCTACAAGTGATGCGATATGGTCTTGAGAGTGCTGATCAGAAATTTGAGTATTTTGGTAACGTAACCAGACCCGGGGGTAGTGATCATTGGATGGCAGTGGTGATTTTGTATCTCGCAAATGTTACCACGGGTGGTGAAATTCTCTTTCCTGACTCTGAGGTGAGGCAGAAGTTTATTTTAATTTCAATAGAAGTAAGATTGAATCTTGTCTTTACTTAAAAAAAAAAAGTTCAAACTCTTGCAGGCCAAAAGCAAGATTTGGTCTCATTGTCCAAAGACTGCTAACATCCTAAGACCTGTTAAGGGCAATGCAATCCTGTTTTTCACCAAAAACCTCGATGCATCTCCTGACAAAAGAAGTTCCCATGCTAGGTGCCCTGTTCTCGAAGGGGAAATGTGGTGTGCTGCTAAGTTCTTCCATGTTAGAGCTGTTAATAAACGGAAGGATTTGTTTCAATCAGATGACAATGACTGCACAGATGAAGATGAATATTGCCCCAGGTGGGCTGCCCTCGGGGAGTGTCAAAGAAATCCTGTATTCATGATTGGTTCGCCTGATTACTACGGAACATGTAGGAAGAGTTGCAACGAATGCTAAAAGTAAACATGGATCGATCCAAATTTACCGGATTCATTATAGTTTTCTGATAAGTAGACAAATATAGCATTTTTTGGCAATCAGCATATACTTTGGTTTGTCTTGTTAAGCGTGTTTCATTGACATATATTGAATATTTTGGGAAGGCAAATAAATGGAAATTCAATATGATTACCTCTTCTACTGTGCTAGAATGATTTAAGTTTCCTTCTTCATGTACGGTACTTCTTTTGATACTTTTCCCCCAGGAAAAGTGGAGGAATTGTTAGGGATCTATGTCTCCATTTTCTGCCCCAGTTAGAGCTATTTTGTCTTCTGCTCCTGGAACTATATCTTCTGGATAAAAGATTTTCAACCTGATGAACAGAATTTACGATTGTATGAACTCAGAATTAAAGATACTTTCAAATGACTAATCAAATTAATCTACACTTTTATTGAATTTTCAAGATTATTCTGCATCATGCAATGGAAAAGAAAAGGAAGGGCAACCAAAATAAAATAGGAAACAACCGCGCTGCTGTGTCATCTTCAAAATCAAAAGACTAGCTTAGAAACCACAAGAATTGGAACGAACTGAGAGATCAAATCACTTTTGTGCTTGGCGTGGTAGAATCCAGCGAAGATTTATTAGGATTCTTCAGAGAACAAGAGGACTTGAAAGCCTCAACCTGAGCTTGGCACTTCGCGTACTCCCCTTTGTTCTCTTCCAAACATTTCTTCAATGCCTCAACATCACATGGTGATGCGATCTTCTTCACGCTTATATTTTCTGCTCTGGTATCCATCGCCGTCGTCCTTAAAAAATGAGGAGAGACGCTCGGTGTGTTTTTACGGCCTTGAATTATAGAGACGGAGAGCGGAGGCGGCAACTGAAACGCACCGTTTCTGGTTAAAACACAACGGCTCCGAGAAAGTGTCACGTGGAAAATATGGATTTCTTGGGGTGTCCGCGAATTTATTTTAGCTAAATTAAAGTCCAAAATTTAATATTTATATAATTACTAAAATTAAATTAGATTATATTTATTTTAAAATATTTCTCAAACTATATATTAATATCTGTAAATTTCCACAGTATTTTTTTTGGGTAATAAAGTGAATTTTATTGAAAAAAAAGGTGGAAATTATTTAATTTTCATTGGAATTTTTAACAAATTTGGTAAATTAACTTGTTTTAGTATTTATTTTAAAATATATATATTATTATATATATTTTATTGGGATATAATTTGAAAAAATACCATTTAAAAAAAAAAAAAAATCAGACGGTCAAGGAGGCTTGCTGTGTACGCTGATAAGATGGGCGCCTTATGATTGGGCCATCTTATTCCTGACAGGGATATCCATTTAAACGAGCGCCCGAATTTAAAAACCAAACAGCCGAGAGCCAAACGGCTACATTTCCCCTGTTCGTTGAAACTTACTCACTCGTCTCTCTCTCTCTCTCTCTCTCTCTCTAAGACTACAGAAGAGGAGCAAGATTCTGATTTTCTTCATATTCACAAGATCAAGAGTTCAAAAGTAGGTTTTCGATTCTTTCCTTGGTGGAAATGGCCTTCAACCAGGGACGCAAGGTTCGGGTGATAGCGAAGATCAGGGCGTTTACGGATCTTGAATCGATGTCTGGTGGTGATGGCCTTTCAACTAAGAAGGTGGTATCTGTTCATAAGCCGAATGGAGAGGAATCTGAGCCGGTTTCTATCTCGTTTGGAGACCAGTCAGCCGGGTAATTCTCTTGTTTTTTTGAGTTTAGGGTTTTGATTCGTGAGTTCTTTTGAATTTTTATGAGCGGGAGCCTGGTTCTTGAGAAATTAAAATGGAAATTAGGAGCTTTATTTTAGCTGTAAGAATTTTATTTTCTTTTATGTTTCGTTAATCCTTGACTTGAAATTGAGTATTAAAGTTGATGAGTTCAGAAATGTCCTGTTACTCTGTCCATTTTACTGCGTGGATAGTCTTGCTAAATGTTGAATCAGCATGAGTTAATTTGTTTTCAGTTCTAAGGAGTCTTCTTATGAGATGGATCATTGCTACAATCAAAACGAAAAAAATGGTTTAATTTTTTCAAAGGAAGTAAAGCCACTGATTTCTGAGGTTTTTGATGGCTATAATGCCACTGTAATTGCGTATGGAGCAAGAGGCAGTGGAAAGACACACTTAATTCAGGTCAGATATAATAATCGAACCCTTTGTTTCTCTTTTGTTTCATGATGTTACCCGAATTACTTTATATCTTTTTTAAAAAAATACTTTCCACATGACGAGGACATGATAGTTCTATCTGGTTTTGAAGGGTTCGGAAGAGGAACCTGGTTTGGCATTTCTTGCCGTCGATGAAATTCTCTCCTTGGCTGAGAAACATGAAAAATTAATCTCCATATCTCTATATGAGATTTGTGGGGATAAGATACATGATATCTTAATTTCAGGAAGCTCAACAGTTTCAAAAGTAGAAGTCAGTCAGAGCAAAATTCATCAAAAAGGACTCTCTCAGGCAAGCTATTTGGTCTCTTAATGTGCAAGATGTGAGAAATAACGTGGTTAAGGTCTATTATATATGTTTTTTATATTCATTCATCTTTTCGTTTTCAGGTTACTGTGAAATCCTACTCAGAATTTTGGAAGTATTTTAACGTCCATAAAGAAAAGCAGAAGAAAACTGCTGAAACTTCTTGTAAACTCCACAAAGGTTTAATAATACATGTGTCATCTAACAGTGAAAAGTCAGATGTCCTTGTTGGAAAGATGAATTTTGTTGATTTAGCAGGTCGGAGAGGCTTTTCTCCTGTTAACATTTTTTGGCTGTGACTACCATATGTATCTAGTTTAACTTCTTTTGTTTATGCTTTTACAGGTTATGAGGATAGTAGAAAGAAAAGTGTCGATGCGCGTGCTCTTGCTGAGAATGTTAAGATGAATAAGTCCATTTATGCCTTGCAGAATGTTTTGTCTGCTTTAAATGCCAATCAAAGTCATGTGCCATATCGAGATAGTAAACTCACTCATTTGTTGCAAGACTCATTGGGAGGTGTAAACAAAGTATTGATTGTCACTTGCTTGGTAAGACAGGCTGCTATTGTGCAGGATTTATGTGTTATAGTATGTTTCAGTTGATTGAAGTGGTATAATATTTGAATATAGGCTCCATATGTTTGCCAAGATTCAATCTACATAGTAAGTTTGGCTTCTCGATATTCTCAAGGAACTAATAGAGCTGTCTTGGACTCCACAAAGAAGATCAAGAGTGCTACAAAACTAATGGTGCTAGCTTCACAAAAGAATCAAATATCAGGAAGTGTTTCTGGCAACAAACTGACTGGCGCTAGGATACAGCTTTCAGGAAAGAAAGCCAAAGCATGTAATACAGTTTCTAATGCCAAAGGGAGTGTTTCTACAATGAAAGGAAGGTATAGATGGCAACTAATACTTAGTTAAAATTTTATATTAGCAGTCTTTCCTCTTCACATATATTTCTAACTGGTAAACTAAACTTATCTGTTTCCGTTTGAAGGAAACTCTTTGATGAATCAAATCGTTCAACTAAATCTGAGAATAAATCTAAGAAGGTACGAGATCTTTTCCTTTATTATGAGTATCAATTAATTATTCCAAAAGAAGTTATGAGTATCAATTACTCCTAACATAGCATAGCTGAGGAAGCAACATGTCAAAATCAGGAAAGCTTCTGTCCTACCTGATCCCATATACTTGAGCTCTGTGACAGAGTCTATTAGTTTCTTTAAGCTGCATTTGCTTTTGGGTTTTAGTGAATGATAATGTTTATCTGATCTGATGACTTCTGTTAAATTGGAATAAGATTAACACTTATTATATCTGACTGCAGGGAAGTAGTCCATTAAATTTTGTTTCAACCACAGAAATTTCTTCGTTAGAGGTAATCTCTTTTATGCCCTTTCAATTTGAAATCACGGAGACTGCAATTATGTATTTGCTAAGAGAAAATCATATTTCAAGAGGATTTTATGCTTCTGTAGGAAAAGTCTGCTTCAAATCTTGCCAAAGAAGTTGTACCTCTAGCAGTGGTATGAAATACTGTCATCTTTGTCTCTCAAGTCTTATTTATATTTTTTCATTTTTTTCATTGTTTGCTTAAATGTTAATACTTTACAGCATTGTTCCCTCTAACAGTACACGTTCCTCTTCCAGGAACTTTCCCCCTCAGCAGTTATAGATGTGCAAAATACTACCATTGCCGGAAAAGTAATTGAGCCTTTTTTTTATCTGCCTCTTCGGGGTTTGTTTTAGATGTTACTATTTTACAGTGTCGTTTCCTCTAACCATCTGTTCATCTTTTAGGAACTTTCTTCCTTAGCAGTTCTAGATGTGCAGGAAACAACCATGCAGGATAAAGTAATTTACCCTTCTTTATCTTTTTATTGATCTCTTCACGGTTTATTAGGTACTAGTGTTTTACGGTGTTGTCACATATAACATTACTACTTCCTCTTTCAGGAAATTTCCAGCTCGGCAGTTCTAGATGTGCAGGAGATTACCATACCAGATAAGGTAATCTCCTCTTCTTATTTATAATTATTTACTGGAAAATTGTTGATAGGTTTGTTGTTGAGTTTCTAGGTTTCTATGCCTGGGAAAGAGAATATTGAGAAAGTTGCTCATGATATCATAAAGAGCCCGAAAGATTTATCATTTGAAAAAGGTTAGTAAGATTTGAAACAAATATAGTTCGTTTGCTGACACCAGAATGAGCTCTGTTATTTTAACTTGCTTTACAGGTCCAGATATTGAAAAGAAGGACACTGATTTACTTGTCAGTGAAGCTAGATCACCACCAATTAGTGCAAGGTTGCAACAAATATCAAATAATCTAAAGATGCTCCTTTCTTCAACCCCTTCATGCATAGAACCAAACAATAATGTTTCATCTGATGCTATAGTCTCTACTTATATTGTGATGCCAAAAACTCCTGAACAAAATGTGGAAAGCGACGATGAAAACAATGATGTTTTATCTGATGCCCTAGTCTCTGCTGATATTCTAGAGCCAAAAACTCCTCAGCAAAATGTGAAAACAGATAATAAAGGGGAGATTTCTATTATGAGTAGTAGTCGTTGGCAAACATTTAGTGCACGTAGTTCCCAAGTGAAGGTAATTTAGTTTAATTTCAGGCAGAGTCTCTAAATATTTATTTGATCAAGAAATACTCTTACCGTAAAAGTTCTATTCTTTTGGCAGAACTCCCTTGTTCAGGAATATCTCAGGTTTTTGAATACAGCGAGCAGGTAAGTTGCTTCTACACAAGTTTTGCATGTGATTTTCTATGCCTTTCTGATAATAGAATTTCAAGGCATAAACACGATTATAGGTCTCTTCAATATATACCATGATAAGTGAATCAATCTTTTTGAGAACTAGCATAAATCCCAAAAGAAAAATATGGATTCAGTGAGATCAAGGGGCAAAAAAGTGAGGCCCTTCTGAATTTGCAACAAACTAACATTTTCATTGTCTTTCTAATTAACAGGGAAGATCTGAAAAGGCTAAAGGTGAGGAGTGCTTCTGATTTATAGCAATTACATAGCTTTCTGTTTATAATGATATTCATTTGAATTTGAGTTGATGCATTTTCAGGGAATTGGTGAGAAGAGAGCAACTTACATTCTTGAGCTTCGTGAAGAATCTCCAGAACCATTCAAAAACGTAAGATTGTTTAGTTCAGAACTTGTTCTGTTTTTTCAATAAATACAACGAAGTTATGTACTTGCTATCACTGTTACTTTGCAATCATTATGAGATAGATTTACATTGCTAATGAGCTCATTGATTGTTTGACAGATTGATGATTTGAAGGATATTGGACTTTCAGCAAAACAGGTAATTTTTTAAGTTATAATAGATATCTTAGGTATATTGAAAAAATATATTTTAGAGATGTGGAAGCTTACCTCTCTCTGTTAGGTCTTTTGGCATTCAGCAATTTCAGCAGTTACAAATTACTTGTCTATGCATGAACAAATGTTATTGAAGATTAATTGAAAATCTGAATTTAGGTTGTCACTATTATTTGTTTCTTTGCTTGCAGATAAAAGGAATAATGAGAAAGGAACTTGGAGAGCTATACAATTAGTGAACCAAATATACAGACCGTTGGAGAAGTTATAAACTTGATAGCAGAAACATTTAGTGGCAACTTGGAGTTGCTAGAGAAATAAGTGCTTTCTATTTATATTGTTTTTTTTTTTCAATGTGCATATGTGTGAGGCATTTGCTCTTTACTGTAAAACTACCTAATCAAGGTTGAACAGCATTTGTGCACACTCTTGTTCCTTATAACATTCATTTACCAGCAAATAAAATTTGTGAATATGCCAGAAATTCTAACCAGAAATGCATTCCATGACATCTGAAGCAATTTGATTTTGACTACTTTTTGTTACACAAAATATATTTGACAGGTTTTTTGCATCGATATTGATTTAGACTGTTAAATCAGAATGAGATGGACACATCCAGAAAATTAACAGAACTTAGTTATACACCTACTTATCTACATATGGGAAATTAAGGATCCACAAATTAACCAGGTTTCTTAATTTGGAGTTATATTTGAGGACATGAATAAGAGGAAACAAGAACCCTAAGGATTAGCTCGGTCATCGACATGTTAACTTGTAAGTCAAGATCCAAGGTGATTATATCGGTATGCTACTATAAGAACTTTTTCCTTAAATCTCCAACTTCCAACACACATGTTTTTCGGCCGGATTTGAGGGAAGACATTTAGTTTCAATGTGCAAAACTGATGAAAAAATATACTAACTGCTAAAATATAAAAATAAGAGGCAAACATGTATCGAGATCCAAGCATTATAGCTTTAGAAACTTCAAAAATTTATTCGGCAGCAAACTGATATAAGCAACAGTTTAGTTCAAGAGATATGAAAGTATGTTCGTTGTTGAGTCTTAATTAAGATAGTTGAACTTTTGAATTGACACTTTGAGAACACAATTCTAGTTCTCTTTCCATTTTCACCTGCCATATAGAGAATTTTACATTGTATAAGACTGTCAAACCAAGTTACTCATCCTTAAAAGTGCCCAAAATGCTTATACCGAATTTGAATATCGCTGGAAAAAGTAGAGAATGGTTATTTTTTTGCATATAAAAAACTTTGAAGATAAAACCTCTAGAAATCAGAACTTATGAATGTTGGCTTTTCTCTTTTTTCTCATCAAATCAAAAACTACATGAGGAAACACATACTTTGAGCTTAAAACTATATAGACAGCGCTTTAGCACAAGCTACATTACACCATTAAATGTGTGCAACCAGAATACAACAGTCGTACCTTCTAACTATTGATCATCATAACGAAATAGTGAGCTAAAGATACTCTAACGAAGCAATGTTTGCATTTCTGGTAGCATTCTTTTTACGCTCTGAACTTGAGAGTTTGCATTATTAGCAATTTTCAGTGCTCGCCAAGGCCAACATATATGCCTCACTCTGCGCCGGCTCTTTTCTCTGCTTTCTGCTTCTTCGATTTGTTTAGTTAGCTCTTCAATCCGGTCACGCAATCCAACCGCTCTGCTATCGGCTAGCTGCAGAGACTTTTCCGCTGCTGCTTGGGCAGCAATTGCAGTTGCTGCTAATTCTTCTTTCAGCTTTAACTTGCCATTTGATATTTTCAATCTGGACTTTGTTTTCTCCAACTCTTGTTTCAGAATATCAATCTAAAAGAGCCACGGGCATACTTATAGCATATATCATGCGCATAAGTGTAAAGAAAACTTTTACTTGAGAAATTAGTACTTCATTTGTCACATCTCTTGAAAAACCAAGTAGTTGCAAATGCAAATTTCTTCTCTACCTCAAGAATATTTTAGCAACATATAATTCAAAATAACAGAAACTTGAATTTGTCTGGGCCACTTCACTAGTTGGTCTACTTTTATCGAAGTTTAAGTTCCAAGGTTGAAGCAAATGGGTTGACAAATTGCCTCAGAGATCATATACTTGTTAATGCGACAAAAAGAAATTAAAGTGACATGTAGAAAGCTTCTAGTTTCCATTCCTAATACCAAAGATGCATATTACTCAAGTATACCATTAGCAATTTAATGCCTACTCCAACCGTCCTCTTCAAATGTGCCCTATTAGAAATAAAGATCACCAACTTAAAAGACAACAGAAAACCGAGAAAAGTTTCCATCAAAGAGAGAGAAAAACTCTTACCAGCTTTTCACGTTCTTTAATCTCATTTTTCCCAGCTTCCACTTCCAACTCACAAGCTTCCCTCCAACGAGCGACCTCTGCTTCACTTTCTTTTATTTCTATTAGCAGCTCCTCAACCTTTTCACGATATTTAAAAAGAAAATAAAGAGTGAAGCCAGTGGTAGAAAGAACCTGTGGCGTGCATGTTAGTAATAAAAGTTCTTACATTTCGGGTTAACACTCTCTCTCTATCTTCCAACTCTTTTATGTATAGCGTATTTTCTTCAATCTTCTGAGCTTGTTTCTCTGTAAGACTCTGCAATCGCTCAGTGTCTGACCTGGCATAAAAACAAACAATAATCAACCAGAGAATCAATTAACAAATACCCAACATATACAGCAACCACAATTAAAAAGATGGACATGATAACAATCTGAAGAAAAATGCTAATGATACAAAACCTAGATTCTTCCAAAGATCTCCTTAGTTGTGTGATTTCAAGCCTTAAACTCTTCATTATTCGTTCCACAGTTGAGGCCTGTTAGAAAGAAACTCAAGCAATCAGAGCTGTGAGCTGTACAGAATAACAAGGCAGCCCATTCTACCATTTGCTATATATTAAAGAATTATTTACTTTCATCGACTTAAGGTTGATCCACGAACAACATATGATTGTATTGATACTCCATAAATAGACTTTTTTTTAATAACTTCATACTGAACTGAGAAATTCCATAACTTAACATAAACTTTTCGATGTTTAACTATGGTGGATGAATTGTCCAAGATTATTGTAAGCAAGAGATCTTTCTGACAATGTGCCTGCAGACGGTCCTATACAGACACTCAATATCTTGCAGGAGAGTATGCACAACAAGCAGTTCTAACAAATATATTAGCTATCTTTGTTTACGTCTTATTTCTTTTGGATGCACACAATAGAAGTTTAATGATAAAGGACAAATCTCATCCTATTTATTAAATTAAGATTCAAAACTGTCGAAATACACTCATTCAAACACATAGAAGAAGTGCAAGCCAACCAATTTAAGTAGGAGAACTTTCCAACATTTAGCCTATCATGCTTGCAGATAGTCTCCTGCACATACGCTCAAAATAACTTGCAGGAAAGCATGCACAACAAGCTCTCCAAGTAAATTATTAATATATATTTGTTTTCCATTTATTTTCTTCTTAAGCAAACAATATAAATTCAATCGAAATGATAAATCCCATCAACTTCATTAAAAAAATTAAGCTTCAGACATGTGCAAATATATAAGACATGTGACCCTTTTGATATTTAAGGAGATATTTCCAAGATTTAATAAATGAAACTTGCAGATAGTCGTGAACATAAGCTAGATGTCTTGCAGAAGAGGATGCACAACAATCTATCCTTGAAATTTTATCATCTTATCTTTTTCCGCCTCCTATTTCCTTAAAACAAAAACAATATAAATTCAATCATACATGTTAAATCTAATAAAATCTATTACCGAACTTCAAATTTTCGATTAGATGCATGTAAAGTGAAACAAAGAACATACCAAACTAACAACCTCCTCTTCAGATTCACTGCCATGATCTGACTTATTACTCCCTGTTGTGCTAGCAACCGAGCTGCTCTCTAATGACTGCTCGTTGCTGCCACTTCCAATCATGAATCCAAAACCCACTCTCTGCAACCCTCTCTCGGCAAACTGCAATAATGCTACTCTCTTCTGCTCGGCGTTCCCTTTCAACCTATTTAAACTCTTTTCAACAGCTTCTTTCTCCGCCAGCGCAATCCTCAGCAAGCTACTGACGTCACGATTCTCCTCTGTCAAACTCACCACGCTGTTCTCCAGTTCCTTATGCTCCTTCTTACTAGCTTCCTTAAACTCACTGACCTTCGACGCTGCCTCCTCTGCTAGTCTTAATAAGTTCATTATTTCTCCAGAAAATGCCCCCAGTTCCTCGTCCATTTCTAATTTTGTCATCCCATCATCCGATCTCTCAATCACAACCTTCTCACAATCATCATTCAAGCATTCAATGATCTTCGCCATGTGGTCCTTCATCAAAAAGATCGAGTCCCTACTTTTCATCAGACATCTAACCCCCTCTTGCTTCTCCACTTCAAGTTTATCGATTTTCTCCCAAGAAACTTCCAATTCTTTTCTGAGTTCCTCTCTCTCGCGCAACTCCTCTCCGAGCCTTCTATCAAATTCCTCTTCTTTCCCTTTCAAAGAAATTTCAAGTTCGTCGATTCTGCCACCAAGGAAGTCCTTTTCGCCGGATAATTCGTCGATGAGTTTCACTAGGTTAGCATTTCGATTGGTCGCGTCGTCTCTCTGGCGCTGGAAGAGGACGAGATCAGCCTCCAACGCGGAGCATTTTGATTCGACGGCGGTATAGCATTGGCGAAGAGATTCCAGCTGGCGGAGAAGATCATGATCGGAGACGAGTGCGTTAATAGGAGAATCTGGACTGTCGGTTGGGGTTTGTGATCTCCTGGTCTCCATGATCGGCAGAGTATAGAATGATTTTGGATATTCATGAGGGAAGGAAGATGCGGGAAACCTACCAGTCAAACGAATTTGAGAAAGAATGTCAGGTGAAGAAATGCGGGGCGTCCGTTTTGTAGGGTTAATATATATATATATATCTTGGAATTTGGCGGGAAACAGTTGTCCCCCTGTTTGGTTTCCGGGCTAGTTTTATCACTTTTCTCGGTTTGGTCATCGCTATTCGTGATTTATTATGTTCAATTGAATGTTAAATTTCAATAAAATAATTAAAAAAATCAATTTGATCATTTTCCATGTAATTACTGCATACTTTCCCTTGTTTATCACTATTTTTTTATTTATTAAAATATATTTTATATATATATATAAATTAAAAAAAAAACAACTAAAAAATATACATTTTAAACTAAAAAATTTCAATAAAATCATCTCAAAAGATATTCTGAAACTCAATAGGCGGTCGCTGGAGATAGTAGGATCCGAGAAAAAAATAAAAGGTCAGGTTGTCCAGGAGATCGACACAGTAATTCTTCTCGCGATAAACATCTTGAACCTTAACGTACCAATCTTTAGTCAGCTAAAACTAAATAGTCATAATCAAATTAGAATCTTCTTTGATGGGAATCTACTCCTCGTTGAGGACACAATTCAAAGTTGAATAACAAAGGCATTATCCATTTTTAAAATTACGTGACGCGAACTTAAATTGCAAGTCAATTCAATACAATTCAGAGCACCCGACAGTTATTAAAATATGTTTTAAATGTATGTAATATATATTTTTATTCAATTTAATTAATATTTTAATTTTTATGTTAAATTAATTTATATATTTTTAAAAAAATTAAATTAATCCACATTTATTAGTATCAATTGATATTGTTAACAATCATGTCATATATTCTTATTTTTAATATATGATATTATTTAATTTATTTATTTTTTATATTAAATTTTATGTGTTAATATTTAATAAAATTAAATATTAAAATTATTTTAAAAAATAAAAAATAAATTTTTTTATAATAAAAATAATATATTATAATTATTTAAAAATAATTTACATGTTATAAAATATTTTTTAAATAAAAATATAATAAATTTAGTAATAATTAATCCGCCTTAATAACGAAAGAAATTATATTACTTGACCAAAAGGGAAAATACTTTGTTTGACATTTGGTAATTTTTCTCATAAAATTTTATTAATTAAAATATATAATTATTTTCTTCAATAAACTCATTATCACATACTAAAAAAACACAATCTTGTTGTCAAAAGTAGGAGAGACTCATCGCTAACGAGGTAAACGACACAGAAAATTTACGCACGTCTTCTCAACTCGGGGAAGCCGCGACTCAGTCAATCAGAACCGAGTCAGCAATCCAGAGCCAGTCCCACCTCTAAAGCCTTGTGCTTGTGTAGATTTTATTTTTGAATAATTTTAGGCTAAGTACTTGGATATACAAAAGTAGAAATGGGGAGTGTGGAGGAGATGGAAGATGAGCGAGTGTTCGATGTGGAGGAGACTATATTTGTTGCGGTGGGGAAGCATGTGCAGAGCAGCAAGAGTACGCTGCTTTGGGCGGTACAGAATTTTGCCGGCAAGAAGATATGCGTGCTCCACGTTCATCAGTCTGCTCGCGTGGCTGCATTGAGTGAGTTCTTTGATTTCGTCAATTAGGAATTTCCTCGAATGTTACTTGTTAGCCTGGGTATGACGATCTGGTTGGTTGCTGGGAAAGTGGAGGAAAAAGGAAAAACGGAATTTTTTGTGCTTACCATCTACTTATTTCAATGAAGTCTCGGCAATATTTGTGCAAAAACGGAATCTTAGCTGATCTGATATCGAGTTTAATGGTCGAGTTGGAGTGAAATAGTTTAACAAAATTAATTTTCATTTCTATTTACTAATATTGGCTAAGTAGAATTGTAGATGAATGATATCACTTGTTCAGTGTCCTTTATGAAAGTAATGGAAATTTTGATATCAGAAGTTACATCAAAAACTTTCCTCTCAATAAAAATAGAGAGAGAAATACATCAAAACATTAGAAAGTAAAGAATTTGGAGACCTCCAACCATTTTGTAATTGGCACATCTATTGAAATTATGTTTTTCTTCTCTATCAGATTTCTAAATGTTTATTATGTTTGCTTGGAAACAGATGCTCGGAAGGATTGTATGAACAAGTATATAAATTTTTTTCATTTTATTATATGAACACTATGGATGGATTTTAGAGATTCAGTTATTTGAGTTTAGCTATCATCTTCTGAATTTTGAAATAGGTATCATTTGATAGCTGTAACAATATCTTACTGGGTTATGTATCTCGTTTCAAAAAGATTATTTGTATTGCATGCAGCTGACAGGAAGCTTGATGGTAGTAAATTTGAACAACATGCAGCTAAAGCATTTCAGCAATTCAAAAATAAAAAAGTGCATGAATTTTTAGATGAGTACCTCCGCATCCTTTCTGAAGCTGGGGTATGTACATGAATAGCATTAGGTTAAAGCTGTTGTGTTTCTGCTCAGCTGTTATCCACTCTAATATCTGATCTTATGCTCAATATTCTATCTAGAATGACCTCCCATTTCTATTAAAAGCACAAAAGTTACTTCTTGAAGTTCTTTCTTATATTTCTCATTCAACTATTTCTTTAGGTAGAATCAACATATAAATTATGGATCGAGATGGACAATGTTGAGAACGGTATAATAGAACTTATTGCTCTGCACAATATCAAATGGCTTGTCATGGGGGCAGCATCAGATGCATGCTCTTCAAGGTATAAAGCATGCATTACAGATGTTCACCTTGTTGCTCATTGTCATCCTGCTTCTGTTTTTGAGTATTCCATGTATAAAGGTCCAGGCACTGTTATCTTAATGATTTGTATTTTCAGACTAGTTAGAATTTTGCAAATATATTTTTCATGTAATAGTAACTTTATGGTGGTTTGCACTTCAAGATTGGTGATTCAACTACATTCCACGTGATTCACATGAATTGGCATGTGCTTTAGGTTTGGATACCAATCTACACCACTAACTTTGAATATATTAACGATGTGCATGTTTGTTATTTCCTCTCTGTTAACTGATAGAATAAGATCGATTGAACAAAAGGATAATTTCAATAGTTGTTATCTTATACACAGTGGATATGCATAAGCATATTTTAAAACAAAATATCCATGCAATGCAATTGTCTTATTTTTACTTTGTGTTACACATTGCTAATAACATTGTTGGGGGTAACTTAAAGAAAAGAAGAAAAGTCATCTTGTAGTATGGTTTTCACAACAAGAGGAAAAGCATCTTGTCCATATGGTTTTAATCCCATCATTAGCTACTGAATGTCTCATGTGGTATTAACATAATTAATATCCACTTCTATATCCTAGCCTGCTCCCAAAAATGTGTACTAAGTGCAAGATTAGATGGAACTCATTCTATGCTCTTTTTCGCTGGGTGCTCCTAAATAGCTTTATTTGAAAATCCAAAAAAGAAGAATTCTGGCTCTTAGATGGGTCAAGGCTTGTGATTACTTGTTTAAATACTTAATTTCATTTGCTGACTCGAAATTATGGAGATTGCAGGGAATTGACCAACTTGAAGTCCAAGAAGGCAATCTTTGTATGCCAAGAAGCACCAGTTTCATGTCATATCTGGTTTGCTTCCAGGGGCTGCCTCATCTACACAAGGTACATTTAACGGTGAATGTAATTATTTTTGTGTATAAGGTGTGGATGATCTTGTTCTTGGTGAGATAAAAGATTAAGAAGTAGATAAATTGGGGAACCATACTAGTTAGCCCGGTGTTTCATTGGTCTTTTGCCTGCTTTTCGAAGTTACTGATCATTAATGTTATAAATTCTCTGTTTTACTTTTGACACTCCCCTCTTTTCAATGTCAGCCTTATGTCTTGATGCATCTAACATGCTTTTTGGAACAATTAGAGTCCATAATTAAAATTCTGGAGATTGTTGAATTGGTTTGATCACAAATCTATAAAGTCAAATTTTTGTAAGAAAATAACTGTTCAGTTAAATAAAAAAAATCAGAACTTTGTAGTTATGGTTTAATTAGTTTTGGTTCATTGATCACCCAAGATGGGGGAGACGGGTCAGGAATTGGATTCTAGAGGCTGATGCGTCTCAACATATACCAATTCGTTAGGTCTTGAACTTACACAGAGGGCTGGAGTGCATTTCCTCGGTTGAGGTTAAGCTATGGCTCAACCACGGTGAGGAAGCACTTACAGGGGAAAAGGCCGAATGTCATGTTCACCCAGCTCAAGGTAGAAATGTCATGCTGGCCTTGCCATCCTAACTTCTCTCTATATCTAAAGAAAAGCTAGTTTGATTATAGTTCAGAAACTCCTATCCAGTTGCCTACTTGCTTTACAAATTCCCTTTTCTCTACAATCCTCACTTCATGCAACTTGTTGTGCCTATAATGTCTAGTTTTATCACCACTTATACAAGAAGCGATATGAAAACAGGCAAGGTGAAGAGGGCAGACATGACATGGAGGCCCCAACTTCATTGCTGCAGCTGAATTCAAGTAACGGAACTGAGGAATCGGAGCAGTTTCAATCAGAATATCTCATTTCTAGGCTAAGACTTCTTGGTAACTCGTTGACTTTGATTCATTATCTTGGATGAACCATATTTGCTGAGTTTGACTTGTGCTGGTAGTATCAGAAATAACTTTGTTGCAGAGTTGTGCAGATGTAAGCGAAGATGCTGATGAATTGGAAAGAAGGTCGGGAGGATTTTCTTCTCAATGTTCCTTGGATTCATGTTTATCCATCAACAGAATGGTTGGCAGTTCCAGATCAGTCCCACTAATGGATGAGGTGAGAGAAATTTTGTTCAAGTGTACTCTCAGTGCATAAATCCAAACACAATTTCATTATGCATCTTCAATTGTTTATTGCCATTTATTAGTTATATTTACAAAGAAGCCACCATATTTCTGAAATTATCTACAAAATCAATTATAAGCTAAATTCTTGAACCTCCGGATGATGAGTTTGAGTATGTGACTCAGATAATGGACCTAAAATAAACTTCATTTGCTAAAGAACAGTGCAGGGGAGTAATTTTGGCTTTATGGCTAATATGATATATATTTTTGAAGGAAGCATGTTTTGTATTTCATCCTCCAACCTTTCTAGTTTTCATGAAGCGAGCCTTTCCAGTTTGAACCACTTACTTGTGGATGATTTTCAGGAGGAAGGATTTCAAGAGCGAGCAACTGGAAAAATTAACGATAGACTGGAAAGAACCATGACAGATACTAAGAACTTGAAGAGGAAAATTTTTGAAGAGACAGTGAAGCGATGGAAGGAGGAAGACAATGCCATGGAGGCTAAGTGCAAGGTCATCACTTATCAGTTTCTCACCTTAGAGTTGATTACATCTGTTATCAGGACAACAAACTTCTGATATCCTCATTTACTTGTAAAATTACTGAACACAAAGTAATCGGTGTTCCCTGCCACTTCCACTCTCAAGTTGGGTAATAAGTTTTGATAAAACAATCGGTCAAGAACTTAATTGATGTCTAATGTCTTGTTCTGCCATCCACTGAGTTGTTGATATTGCAGACTATGAATCCCTCGGTCTGTTGAGCTAAAATTGGTAGAGAAATCTCCCGCTTCCTACAGTAATTCCTTCGTTCCTTAGTCTATGCTTCGACCATGTATTTGTGTTCTGACGTTCTTGTCTCCCCCTGAGATAGATCATACTTACTCTGGTGCCTCGTTTTGATTTGATCCAGCTTAAAACACGTGTTGTATGCATTATTTATCCAACCAACCTCATTTTCTTCTAACATCTGATCATTGTACCTTGTACAGGCCAAAGCACTAGAAAGCTTATCTGTTAAGGAGATGAGTAGAAGGAAAGAGATCGAGGAATTACTGGAAAAAGAAAAGCAAGAAACAGAGAGAATGAAGAATCAACAGGATGAATTAATGAAAGAACTTCAGATGGTCCAGGAGCAGAACGCACAACTTGAGGCTGAAGTTTTTGAGTCTCAATGCTCCGCGAAAGAGTTAGAGGAGAAGATTATCTCTGCTGTAGAACTCTTAATCAGTTTCAAGAAAAAACGGGATGATATGCGGATTGAGCATAGAAAGGCAATTGAAAAAGTCAAAGAAATGAAGAAATTGATAAGAGCGGAAACTGCTGGGTTTTGTGGGACACAGTTCCTTGAATTTTCTTTCATGGAGATCAATGAAGCTACTCATGACTTTGATCCATCCTGGAAGATTGGAGAAGGAAAATATGGAAGTGTTTACAGGGGGCTTCTTCGCCATATGCATGTGGCTATAAAAGATGTTGCCCTCTTATGGCTCTCAGAACCTCTTGGAGTTCCAGAAACAGGTACAGTTTGTAAAAAGATCCTTACTATAAAACAATTTTATTGCATTCACCAGCTAAACCATCAGAATATACGACACAAATAATGTAAATTGAGGCTTGACATTCTACAGTGGGATTATTTTCAGCCCCAACTAAGTGTTCAAAAACTTCTTCCCCTAGCCTTATGTTCCTGCCAATTGTTCTGATCAACAATAGCATTGTTATTGTTATCCTAAATTAGATGTTACTTTATATTTTTTGCTGTCTGCGGGATTATGGAACTACAAACAAGTGATTTGTTACTCAAACTCATGAACATAATGGTTTGCTAGCTCACAAAAAATTTTCTTGCCAAGAGAAATTTGCTTTGAGCATGTGACGAATGTTTCAACTAAGTGTTCAAAATCTGGCTAGTGTAGTTTTGCATTTATTTCTATCTTCAGAAATTCCAGAAAATGTTTCCAAATAACCAAGCATTCTAGTAGGATAATCATATTATCATATTTCTGGCGGAAAATTTATTGAAAAGCTTATTTGATTATTGATTACATATTTTTTTTTGAGAGAGAGACTATTGATCACTTTGATAATTGAATTTCAGGTAGAGCTTTTGAGTAAGGTGAGACATCCAAATCTGGTGACACTAATTGGAACATGTCCAGAAGCTAGGTCCCTTGTCTATGAGTATCTCAGAAATGGCAGTCTTGAAGACCATCTTTCCTGCAGAGAAAACACTCCTTCACTTCCATGGGAAACTAGGATTTGGATTGCATCTGAGATATGTTCCGCACTAATATTCCTTCACTCCAGCGAGCCTTGTATTACCCATGGCAAGTTAAAATCCTCCAATGTTCTCCTTGATTCAAACTTTGTCTGCAAAGTTAGTGACTTTGGGATCTACAGTTTGATCCCAAAAGATGAAGATACAGCTAACTCTACTACATTCCTTAATGAATCTGATCCTAAGGTCACCTGTGAGCAAGTGCATCCATCTTATTTTGAAGCTGGAGAGGTTACTCCAGAATCAGATGTATACTCATTTGGAATCATACTCTTACAACTTCTTACAAGAAGGCCAATTTCGAAAATTTTGAGAGATGTTAAATGTGCATTGGAAAATGACAATTTTAGCACAGTGTTGGATGGTTCAGCTGGAGACTGGCCCCTTACACAAGCCAGAGATCTGGCTTATTTGGCACAAAGGTGCTGCGAGAAGACCCAGTTTAATCAACCAGATCTATCAGAAATTTTGTGTGTGCTTGAGCGAATGAGGGCTTCGAGTTTTGCATCACCATCACATTCAGGTTCCAAGGCAGCATTGTCTCATATTCCTTCTCATTTTATCTGCCCTATTTTTCAGGTAGTGCCCTATTCCCTATCTTTTGACTGAGTTCCTTTTCATGTCATCTCTCTTTTTTTTTTTTCATTTTTTGGGTAAGTTTTCCCTTTTATCTTCTTTTGGGAATGCTTTGATTACACATCAAGGTTTCAAGAGTAATGTGCTTCCCTTCCCCATTACATTCTATCTGGGTGTACAGGAAGTCATGAAGGATCCGCACATAGCCGCAGATGGTTTCACTTACGAAGCAGACGCAATCAAGGGATGGTTGCAAAGTGGCCACAAGACTTCGCCGATGACAAATCTGAAGCTCGAAAACTGCAGTCTATTACCTAATTATGCTCTTCATCAAGCCATTCAAGAATGGCAACAACAGTCTTGAACTGGTGATATATATATATATATATATATATATATATATACATAATATATCTTATCTTTCCATCTGGTTGTACAGTGATAATTCAACAATCTTTTTAAGTAATCAATCAGTTTACACTATTTACTTTCACAGAAACAATTGATATCAGAATTTTCTCAACTGGGAAAGTAGCCATGGAGGTGAGCCAATTGGCCTTACTACCATTGGTAAATCCTTGAACTACCTGTGAAATAAATTTGTATAGAATACTTGTAAATCATAGTTTTATTTTCATAAAATACCTTTTTACACCAATATATAATCATAGAATAGAAGATAAGATGAAAATTCAACCAATAAAATCCTTTTATCCCTGCCATTATATGGATTATTTTAAGACAAATAAAACTTGCTGAAGTAAGAAATATGTAATTTCAGATTGGAAAATTGTGAAAAAAATGTTATATTTTATTAATTTTAAACGATAATCAATACTTTAATTACATATTTTTTTTCACAATTTACCTTTAAATTTTCATTAATTGATGGTAGATGATAAATATAACCATGAACACTGGGTTTTTAACCTTTAGATACCAACTACTAGGGAGTTCAATAATTTTTAAAATTATGAATATATATATATACACACATGTATGTGTATATATATATGTATATGTTTAGTGTCTAATAAAAGTAGGTCATCTTGGAAATAAATATATTTTGTAAGAAAATTTTAAAATTAGACTCTTATTTAAAATAAAATTAATATATATTTTTTTTAAAAAAAAATTGTTGGGCTATTTTTATTTGATTTAAGTACAAAAACTAAAAAGTAGTTTTTAAAAAGCCCAAAACGCACGAAATTTGGGCCGTTTAGAGCAGCTCAGTTCCCGCTTGCGCGTGAAACAAAATTTCCCACGTCAAAATCATGAATTTTATGTTTTTTTTTTTTTGTTTTTTTTTTTTTTGTTTTTATTAGTCCTTATTACCTTTTTCCCTTTAATTTCCTACTGGGGAGCTAGAAGAGGGTTCCATTTTCGCTTTTATATTTCTCTTACAATTCGCTCCCTGAAAACACTCTCTTTGGCCGATCACTTTCTCACATTTTCTCGGCGATTTTCTCTCCCGTCAAACCCTTCCAATCTCCTCCTCGGTGATTCTAAATCCCTTTGATAGCCGGAGATTCTCTCTGTTCCTCTATCGATCTCTGTTGCACTCCTTCACTGGTACGCGAAACCGATCATTTTACTTGACCTTGTTACGCCTATTTGTGTCTCGATGTCTACAGTATTATGTATTGATCTCAGATCACAAGGCTGTCAACGCTAACGAGCTCGTCTTGTATCGTTCTATGTTTTCTGTTCGTTATTTAATATCATGTGAAATTCAATCGTTCTTCTGTTTGGTAGCTGGTAAAATAGAAGAGACATTAAAAACCGTATCTAATTCTTTTATTGTCCCGAAAGCGGAAAAAATGCGGTAAATAGTTCTGTCATTCTAGTTTGTAGGTGTTTAAAATATTAGCGGTCCCTATTTTTGTATTGGATTTGGTTCGCTCTCTCTTTTCTTAGAGAACAAGCGGAGTTAGGAGAAATGTATTCTTTTGTGATCTGATGTATTTGTATTAGTTTTTATTGTTCATAGGCAGAACTAATTTTAAGAGTTCATGTGCTGCATAATACCACAGAAATAACCTTTCACTCTTGTTGGATTAGCGATAGGGATTAGCCATTTTGTGCATAAGCATTTTGTGATGCCCTAGTTAGTATAAGATATTGGTTGGTCTGCAACTTCATGGCAGACAACAAAGATTGGGAAATTTTCTGGGATGGCAACAGTTGATTTTCTATGTCTGCTGTAAATTCTCATATGGTTGTAACAAATTTTCCGTTTCATTGAGTAGCAAGGGAACAAGTATTATCCGGTCTTCTAAATTTTCTACTAAGGGGGACTATTTTATGAGGTTTTGTTAGATTGCTTGGTTTGACATTAGCAGGTTGGTCATGATCTTAGTGGAATTAATTCTTCTGGAAACAAAATTTTATTTCCAGAAGGAAGTATGTCCACATTAAAAACAGTGCCCCTCTCCTATATGCACTGCAATTTTAATGTCTTATTTTTTCGGTGGCTTATGTCGAAGCAAATGTGTGTTCCATCACTGAATTATTTGGAAGGTCTTCTGCATTTCTTCTTTTATTTAGTTGAACAAAATTATTTATGATTGTATATATCTTCTCTATCTAGTAGACCTGATGATTTTTCTAAAGCAGACATTGTTACCTATTTGTCTAATTTCTGGAGGATGCCTGATCAAGTCATTTGAGCTCTTAACTGTCTTTGGTGCAGTGGTGTCCTGGAAGCTGGTTTAAATTTTCGGTCTGCATAAATGCCAGTTGCGAAGCTTAAGGCCTCTAATGCTACAGATGTGGTGAAATCGGAGGAGGGAAATGATTCTCTAGATACATTTATTAGACAAGCGATTGGAAAAGAGCCTTTTCTTTCTTTCTCTAGGGCTGGGGATAGCCCAGTCCAGTGGATTCAACTGTTGCATGCTTTAGATCAGCAAGGTATCATATTTTCTAGTGCTGTTGGGTCCAGAAATTGTTAGATTTTCCTAAGTTAAAGTGCAAAGTATCATTCCCAAAAAGAACAGAAAGTTTCATTTGTTAGTTGCTGCTGTTAACACTGAGGCTAAATATTATATTTGCTCAGATCATTTCTTAGTTCAATGGCCAACCTAACAATTCCTTGCCAGTGGTTTGTGTCATGACAAGGAACAGGCCTAGTTTGATGTCAGGATTTGACTTATATTTTGTCTCATTACATCTCGCAGATCTCCCAGGTTGGCCTTTGCTGACTCCTTTGAAAGTGCAAATGCAAAAGTGTGACAAGTGTGCCCGAGAATTTTGCTCACCCATCAATTATAGAAGGCATATACGTGTGCACCATCGGTTGAAGAAGCTTGATAAGGTTTTTTTATTGTTTGCATATACGATTATTTAGTTTCTATCCTGCTATTTATTGTCGACTGTGTTTGGGTAGTTTCTTTTAGAACTGTGTTATCGTTGGTTCATGTCTAATGGCTTATTTTTGTGTTTAGTAACTTAAAAAAACTGTTTTCCTCCTAATTTATTGTCGACTGTGTTCCTGTAGTTTTTCTTGTAACTGTGTTATTGTCGGTTTATATCTTGTAGGATTGATCTAAAAGATGTTGTTTTACATCTTGTAGGATTCCATCAAAAATAGGGAACTCTTGGGAGCCTTTTGGGATAAAGTTCGTGTGATTTCCTTTTCTCTCTGGAGTTTAACACTTTCCTGTTCTCTTTCTATCTGGAGAAAGGCTTACTTATTGATAATATGCCCATTCTTATGTGTTATTTGCAGCTGTCTGTAGATGAGGCAAAGGATATTGTCTCATTCAAGAGTGTGGCATTGGAGGTAAATCTCTTCATTAATGGCATTGTTTTTATTGGCATAGTTCTTCATTTCGTTGAACATTTTAACAATGTTGTTGAATATCATATTATATTACTAGACCAGCAAAAAGACTAGGGATTATGTTCAATTAGCATCTATTGCTTTATCTTTTATTTTTGGAATTTTCATTTTCTTCATAACTCTCTTTTCTCCTTCTTAACTGCCTCTATAAGATTCTAGGAATGGTGTTTCTCCTGGAACAAACTTTTCTTTGTTACAAGTAGCCAGTAAATTTGGAATACCATTTTCCTTTGGTTTATATTTCCCTAAATCTTTTAGTTCTCATATTATGGATTCATTGAGTGGATTATCCGTGTTGGGTTTCTAAGATCTAGTTGTCTAATCTGCTGCTATGTTGGTGTTTTCTAATACCTGATGGATGCTTTCTATCAGTAAGAGATGATGCAACATAAACACGAGACTAGTCTACTATTCTTCTTTACAATATAAATAATCCAATTTATCTTTCTCCTGATCTTCTTGTTTTGCAATCACTTGTTTCAAATGAATCTATTAGGATGTTCCAGGATCCTCAGTTGTGAAGGCGTTGACAACACTTATTAGGAAACCGGGATTTTGTGCTTTGCCACAAGTTTGTTTGAGGGCTGGATCTGTACTTTTGGTATGTGCTGTATTTATATGGGATTTCAGCACTGGTTGTCACACTTTTTTCCAGGGGATGACATATATCATGATTCTTTGCAGGATATTATCCAAGCTAGGCCATCCAGGTTTCCAATTTCATCCCAAGAATTATTCACTATTCTTGATGATGCAAGTGAAAAAACATTCCTATGTGGGGCAGCTGTTTCGATTCAAAAATATGTTTTTGATGGGGAAGCAGGAAAAATTGGTCTTGAGACAAAGAACTTGGTTGCTTGCACTAGCTTCCTTCTGGAACAGAGATTGGTACTTTTTCATCTCTTTCATTGTTGTCTCTTGAGGTTGCGCTACTTTTCTACTTAAATGATGTGATGAAATGAATCTTATGCAAACTCCCTCCCGGGGAACATTGCTACAGTGTGATTTATGCTAGTTTTTACCATTGATTATGATTGTCCAATATTTTTTATGATTGTCCAAGTTTTAACCATTGAAGTACTTTCACTTCAAGGTTAAAGCATGGCTTGCTGACAAGGATGCTGAAGCTCTGAGATGCCAGAAGATGCTAGTGGAGGAGGAGGAAGCTGCTCAGAGAAGGTACTTTGCATCATGGTCAGGAAAAACATGTTGCAGATTAAATGTTTATACAACTTCCTTGAAGTGAAAGTATGGCTATTTTCAAACTAAAACATGATAAGGACTAGAATTAGTAGGTTCTTGGCACATAATATTTACGAACCAAATCGTGAGTTTATTGGTACAATGCAAAGAAAACCATGACTGTAGTTCTAATTGTGTCTGTCACATAAATAGGAGTTACAACATGTTCATGGAAGAGTATGTGGGAAGAAAGCATGAATACATTTCTGTAATCACTAAATATGCTGAACTCTCTTTTGCTTAGTTTTGTAATTTCCCTATTTATAACTTCTAAGCACATGATTAGTTGGATACTGCCATGATCTTAAACACTGGCTGCCATGGACATGATACTCCAGACATGAAATCTGACATGTTGCCCTTGCTTATAGCACTCATAATATGATTGATACCTCCGACCAATAATTTTTGTTCACCATTATTTATTTGGAAATCTAGTTGCTCATGGAAACAGATATCAGTGGCTTGGTTCTTTGTTTCTGTTCTTTTATTTTTAACTGATTTATCTCATGATTAGACAAGCTGAGCTCTTGGAAAGGAAAAAGCAGAAAAAACTCAGGCAGAAAGAACTGAAATCAAAAGATCAAAGAGATGGGGAGAAAGAAGACGTTAAAGATAGTGTTAATATTAGTGATGCATCTGAGGCACAGCTACTGGCAGAAACATCCTGCCCTTTAGCCGCATTTGATTTTGATACTCTAGAACGAGATATGGTGCCAGCCGAAAATTCCTCAACTCTTGAACTAGTCAAAGGTTTGAACACTAAAGAAGATGTGAACCATGAAAGTCAGACAGGGTTTGCCAGTTGTGCTTATACCGATCCAAGCGGTGGTCCTGCTGCAGAGCGACGAATGGTGCAAGGAGGTGGTCGTCGACATATGGTTGTTGCTCGATGGCAGGTTCCCCCAAAATCACAACGGGGTATGCCCCATGGTTTCCATGCTAATCTTAGTTCTCATGCATCAAAACTCGGGGCCTCGCAAAAGCATGGTCTCAACAAAGATTTAAGGCCTCTACAATTAGTTAACGGTAATAAAGTATGGAGCAGAAAAAATAAACTGGAAAATGATGGGGGGAGCATAAAGCCTAGAACACAGGATGAAACAGTAAACCAACCAGACCAAGGCAAGAATTGTGAGGTTTTGATTGGTTCTATATCTGTAGCCTTAGGAAACTGCTGTCCCCAAGAACACAATAATCTGGCTGAAGGCCGAAATGGTTGCCTTGCAGAGCCTGAAGTACCTAAGAGAAACATCCATGAGAAACCTAGCAAAAATGATGCCCTCCACCATTATGGCACAAACCGGGCAGCAGTTAAGCTATGGAGACCAGTGAGCCGGCATGGGAACAAAGTTTCAATACCAAATGGCGGTAGAGAACTTGAAGCGAATGAGGGCGCTGGAAGGAGCAGAGATGCAAATGAAACCTTGTCTGGTGAAAGCTGTAAAAGATTATGTGCAACAGAAAATAATGATAATAGGAGTGAACACACTGCATCACTTCTCCAGCAAGCTGTGCTTCCGGGAAGCATGCCTTTCAACAGCCATGATGCCAAAGCATTTCTTTCACTAAGTAAAGTCTTTGCTCCCATATATTTTAATTTATCATCTAACTTTACACTGACATTGCTGAATTGTTTTATTAATGGACCTAATTCAGGGTGGAAAGAGGCTATTGCAGCTGAACATGTGAAGTTAGTCCTGTCCCCAGAAGCTGAACCTCTTGGAAATGCAGAGGATCAAAATGACTATAAAGCAGCAGTACTCCAGTCATCAGATTTTCATAAATGTACCGTTGTCGGCAACGCAGAGAACTGGCCGGTTAATTCAGTGGCCATTGCGTCTTCAAATGGAGGAACTAAGCCCAAGTTCAGACCAAAGCCTGAAAAAGGTGCTAAGATAAAGTACATTCCTAAACAGAGAACCTTAACCTAATAAGAAAGAAGACAGATGGGCTTTTATTTTGTTATACAGATATGCACAGTTTAGCCAACCGTCAGTATATTCTTAGCAGAGGTTCCAGTTTTACAAGTGGTCTTCTGTCAGAAAATCGAAAAAAGATTTTGCTCGAATCTTTTATAAATTCCATCATTTTTAAGGTTTCATAGGAGATTGATTAGTCCTTTTTTTTTTATAAATTTTTTCTTGGACTAAATTATGGAATTTTCTGTAATAAATTTTGTTCTAGCGACTGCAAAGGTCCTTTTTCTTTGTTATACTGGATCGGGGTTCTTTTTCTTGTCCGCACAAGATTCGTGCTACGAAATGCAGAGTCAAATGCCTTTTGCCTCTTTCTTTCATGAGGATGTCCGCTACAGAATCCGTATGAGGATAACAATGGCTCTTCCTTCGTTCTTTCATTCTTATTATTATTTTCCTTGAGCTTCTTACAGGTAGGGTGTTTAGAGAAAATACAGCTTGAATGCTGAGAAATGTGAATAATAATAGTCTTGATTCTTTTGACTTAATTGCCATGTTCTCAGATTTGTGCTTCTCGTGTGTATTTATGCATCACCTTGCAGATTTGGCTCTATTCTCTGTTGTCTGGAGAACTGCATTAAATTTTGGAGTCTGTCGTTTTCAAAATAGTTTTCTGGAATATTGAATTCTAAACTGTAATTTTTATAGCTGTTTTCTGAATATCAACATTTCAAAGGTTAACGACAATTGGTATATCACCCATACTTCCTCTCAATAATTGTCTCAGCCATGGTCCTAAATTGTACAGAGACTTTTGTCCCAGCAGTAAATTTCCCGAAGAGTTTCTACTGCCACCCGATGTCCCCCGAGTGGACTGTCACACTGTTGTTGCTGCATAATAGCCTTGGAAATTGTTATGCAAATTAATAAATGACCTCTAAAATTTTGCATTTATTGTATATTAACTCTTATATTTTTTTTTATATAAATTTTATTAATGTATAATTGATGTATGATAATAGCAATAATATAAAATAAAAATTATTATAATTTAATTACTTAATATTTTTTATTTACTAACTCGTTCATTATTTTTTAATAAAAGAATTTGAAGAGGTAAATAATACATAAAAGAAAAACTAAAATATATATACATATTTAAATTGTTCTGGCACACAACAATTTCCACCCACTGAAACTTCGCAGTTCGCAGTTTATCCCAGGAATAAATTTAAACCCGAGTCAAACGGCTTGACGATTGCACACGTTAAATATTGACGTCAGAAAGATAACATATGGCCCACGCAACCCATACCTCGTACCACAGACAGCCACGTCCTCCTCTTAACCCCCTCAAAAACGGCCACGTGGCAACACTCGTCACCCTATATTCAACCCTCAGATTTCACCCCCCATCTCTTCTTCCTCTCCTCCACAAATTAAACTGCTCTCTCTCCTCTCACCCTCTGAAAAGATTTTCTCCAGAAATTCACAGTCCACCCACTGATTTAAGAAACCCTTTTTTTCCATTATTCTGAAACTTACTTCTCTTTCTTTAAAGACCCCCCAACGGAAAAAAAATGTCTGGCGGTGTTGGTCCAACATACAACGACATATCACTCCCCAAAGAGATTCAAGAACAAGAGCATGGAGATGACGACCTTCAAACTACAGTACCCAAAAGAAACGAAACAAGCTCTGGTAAACCTCCACGTAAAAAAGCCGGTTTCCTCACCTTCCGCCAACTCAACTCACTCGCCGTCATGATCATCCTCGCTTCCAGCGGCATGGTCAGCCTCGAGGACTTTGCCTTCGTCGTCTTCTCCTTCATCTACATGTACTTCATCTCCATTGTCGCCTTCCCCGATGCCAGACCGCTACACGAATCCCGAGTCATCCCTCACACGAAGATGTTCCGCTTATACATGTTGACAGCCGGCGTAATCGGGCTTCTTCTTCCTGTGGCGTACATCTTGCATGGGATATTTGAAGGTGACAAAGAAGGGATTAAAGCAGCGGCGCCTCATTTGTTTCTGCTCGCGAGTCAGGTTTTCATGGAGGGGGTGGCTTTCACCGACAGGTTTTCGCTACCCATACAGGTATTTGTGCCTGTGTTTTACAATTCGAGGCGGATCTTCACCATTGCTGAGTGGTTGAGGAGCGAGTTCTCCAAGGTTGGAGAAGAACACGCGGTGTCTGCTATGAGGGTTAATGTGGGAAGAGGGCTTGCTGTGGCAAATATGGTGCTCTGGTGCTATAATCTTTTTGGGTTCTTGTTACCTGTTTTCCTTCCTAGAGCATTCAAGAAGTATTACTCTGCTACTAAGGTTAATTGAAGAAAGGAAGTAGTACATAGATGGTTTGTCGTCTCAGTTTTACTTGAACAATGTATTTTGATTCTTCTTCTCCTTCCCTGGCAGATGGTGGAAAATCGATGCTGCTGGTTTATGTCATATTTTATTACAGCATATTCTCTCTCTCTCTCTCAAGCTCTCATTCTCTCTCTCTCCTCTGCTGTCTGAAACTTGTACTTTCTTGATCTAATCAAATGAATATATTGAGAGGCTAGCTGTTTTACATTCTCTCTCTCCCTCTGTATATATATATCTATATAGAGTAGAAAATCTAAACTTGTAAACAAAATCTGCAGAAGTTTCAATTAGAAAAAATAAAATTAAAAGTAAAAACTAAAAAAATCGTAAGAAAAAAACTGACGACTTCATATAAAATAACAAAAACAAAGTCATAGATCATTGGGTTTCAATTACAATAAAAATGAAAACAACTAAAATAAATCAAATAATCAGTTCATACAGTAATTACGACAGCAAAATATAGACATGGTACCTGCATACTTTACATTAATAGTTGAGACCAACTATAATTAATAGTCATCTCCTAGCCTCCTCGCATTGGATTTCAATCCATGCTGGTAACATTCAACTTTTAAACCTAATGATGGAAACTAAAAAAACAAATCATTTCACGAGCTCAGGCTGACTTAGTTCAGTGGCAAATAGATACTGCCCCTAGTCTGGTTTTCCTCATCATGAATTCTCCTGGGTTGACGCGGGGGGGGAAAAAAAAAACAAAAAAGAGGGGGGCCGCCTTTCGCCACTGCCAGAAAGTATGCAAGTTTCGAGATAAAACATACAAGTTATGGACATTGGGACCGGAAGGTTACAGGGAAAATATTCAAAGATCAGAAGTTTATTTTCTTACAGTAAACTAGCATGCCAACCAGGAACGATGACACAAAAACAACTATGAAAACAAGGTCAAGAAGGATGCAGATTTCAGCAAAATTTTTCATTTGCATTTTGTTTTTTCCAACTTTTTCAAACAAAAGACCAGCCTGGAACTATATTTGCATTTTGGCAACAGAAACACTCAAGAGTATATGTACTCACATACAGATACAGTTGACACCAAAAAGAATGGCAGCTGTATTAGAAACTGACAGCAGCAGACTTGACGCGGGTAATGGATCTAGCCAGTAAAGCTGCTGAAAATTCTGCAAAAAAAGAAAAAAAAAAAAAAACTTCCATCCTTGGATTGTCATGCTCGGTCCAAACCTGTTATGCATCAATAGATGCATTAGTTGTTCACCTAAGCAAGAGTTACCCATGCATGTACTCAAACGAAACTGCAAATGGGTCATTTGGGAATATTTTGAACTTCCCAAATGGAAAACCCCAAACATGAAGAAACTAATAGGATCTATAGTTGCATACTTGTAAACCTATGTACAGAATGGCTGTCATTGACGGATATGGGTACAAGCCTTCTTTCATGGCCTAAAGACAAAATCTCTTGCATCCTCTCCGGCCAGTCAGAATTCAATCTTCGAGCAAAGTCCTCCACCTCCCTATATTAGAAATGATTATAAAAGTTTCAGTGAGTTAATGCCTCATTATAAGCACGTGCCCTACATGGCAATACAATATCAATAGAAAATTGGTATTTGTGTTTTGAAAGAAGAAAATAGATAATAATTGTTTGCCATCCAGAGAGTATCATAAGGAAAACGAATAGTGAACTGCAGCATATTTAACATGGAAACAAAAAAAAGATAACTCCCCCTTGGAAGGAAAGAAGGTAACAAAACTGGTATTCTTTCTCCATGAATTATTATCTCCTAAATCAACAATTCTAAAAGAAACAGAATTTCCTGTAACACCAAAACATTCAGTTACTGAGAAAAAAAAAGGGATAGGGTGAGGTAGCTGCAATCAATTCAAATGTTTATTCAATTACTCCAACATGTTCACATTCAGACCTAATTATGAGTAGTTAAACAAATAAAATATAATCTTCATTGCTTAACCACTTAAATCTCAGTAAGGAACCTTCATTAAATAAATAGCATGTCAAAGAGACATGTGGAGATAAGATTATAAAAGCACAAGAAGATGTTGAAAATTTTTAGGTTAGTTCCAACATTTTTTGGACTTGTGGAAGTAAGACTGACATCTAAACCAGGGAGTAAAAATTCTTAATGCATTGTTTCTGTTGGTCTTGAATAGGGTTGATACCATCAGTTATCATACCAATCACATACATCTATACCTTTATTTCAGTCAGTGCAAGTTTAACTAATGCACAAGACATGTATTTGTTGATAAGAAACAAAAATGACAAAACAAAACATGCCAGAGAAAGAAAACCAAAGATATTACTGAAAGGAAAAAAATTCTGTCATTTGTATCCCTTATTTACAGAAATAGAGAGTTGATGCAAACTGATCACTATGAATATTACAATGAATATCATTGTTGTTATTTTGCCCAACTTCAAATGATTCAACAGGTGATGGAAGAAATTCCAAGGAGGCACCTATGAGATTTAAAAATCTGATGTTTTGATATAAAAAGGGATCCAAAAAGGAAATATTTTTTTAACACTGATTCATTATCTTTTTAAAACAAAGTCCTGTTATATGGTTGCCAAAACAATTATTTAATACGAAAGCTAACAGCCAATAAGGGAGGGTGCAAAATTTTCCTATAGGTGATAAAAAGTCATTTTCCTTGGAAATGAATAACTGCTTGCCATGTTATTAATTTGCAAATTTTCCTTAGCTAGATTCTTAGGCCCATTTCAAGAAGCACATAGCCAAGCCATGTTAGGGGAGGAATCCTAATAGCAACCAATTGGGATCAAAATTGGCTACACGAACAAAATTGGCTGATGTATGGTGACACTCAAGTAGTACAGCTTCCATTATGGGAGAAGTTGATTTTCATGATATTTGATACACAGAAGTAAAAGATTTCAATTCCTTTTCTAGTTAGGAAAGAGTTATATGAAATCATATGGATGTTTGTCCCTACTTTTACTCTTTTACAAGGGATCACAACATGCACTAATAACTGTATAAGTATAATCAAATAAACAAAACTAATTAGGTTGCAAATTTATTACTTTAATTGCAATAGTCAACCATCTCTATCAACATGTCCATAAAAAGTTAAGTTTCAACTCATTATTTTAATTCAATAGATAAACATCTCTGTCTAACCTGTCCAGCTCCTCCTTCATTGCAGGATCTAAATCATCATCGATATCACCATCATCGAACTCAAGCTTAGGTGAAAAGGTAGCAGCTGTAGAGCCTTGAACCTTTGAAGTTTTACTGGGGGAAGACATTGATATATCATTAAGCTCACCCTTGGTGCCAGAAGAAGGGTGACCATCCACCTCCTAAATCGTCAAAAGATTTCGCTATAAGTAATGCCTATTTTGTACCAATAAAAAGATAATCAAGATAGAGAAACAATGACCACAACCACTGATAGAAAAACAGAGACAAGTGGAAAGGCAATGCACGCAAAAGACACGGATGCACCCAGACAACCAGCCCTGTCCTTGCCACCCCGTTAGCGTTAAGGTATGTGGTTCAACCAATTTATCAACTGAGTGGTGACATTGTGATAACAAAAAAAAAGAAAAAGATATATGCATAGATACACACATATGCGGAGAGGGAGAAAGGAAAACCTTATAACTTGTGCTCGAATTGTTCAAAGAATCCTTAGATTGATCCTTTTTTCTTCGATTTTTCTTCTTACTTTTAGTAGTTCTTACTCCCTTTGAATCTGCAATGCAGAAGAAGTTACATTCAGTAATATTACTCGATAGAAACACAAGCTATTTAAACAAAAATACTCTCAAATACTTTGACAAGTAAATAACATATTGAAACCGTATGAAAATCTTGAGATGATCACCTCTTGAGAAGAGGCCATGATATAGGAGTCAATCAATGCAACTTTCTTCATTAAATCAAAAAGGGTTAACCTCAGTGTTGCTTCTTAGACAATATTGATTTTGTCTCTAAAAAGCGAGGTTGATATTTTATCTCAATTGTCAACCACTCACAAAATGCTTTTATTCTTTAGCACCAAAAGACACATGCAAAATAGAAAAGCCTACAAAATTGATAACTTAATGACAACAGAGTCAAATTTAAATTTTTAGCTTCATAAGCTGTCAGTTAAATAGCATTTTCAAGGCCATAGGTATTGAAAATGTTTCAGAAGCCTACCTCCTTCTTCTCCATTTATGAACGATAAGAGATCATCAACTGAACGCTCATCCACACGATCCTCCTCAATCTCAATATTCTGAGACTTAAAAGAACAGTCTTTCATCAATGAAAAATTTTGAATGCTTTCAAGAATGCAATATCTATTCAGTCCATTTACTTTTAAACATTCAGAATTATATGCATCAGAAGAAATGAAAGAAAGAGAAAATTTTCATATTAAATTAAGTATCAATGAAGAAAAAGTAAAAGTCACCACCTTCAGCTTCTGCCTCTCTTTCAATTCTTTTCTTTTCCTTGCATATAACCGATTCAGAAGCCTGATACGTGGATCATCAGCTATGTTTCTAAGGGGTTCCAACTTCTCTTCCTGGGATGACCAAATCTACATGAAGAACAACAAATGCATACAAAAAACTAAACACACTGACTTCCTGCTAGCCACACACACCTCCGTAAGGTCATCAGGTAAATTAAACATTTCCCTTATCTCTTCAGGACTTTTTCCTTCAATTATTCGCGCAAGTGCACGGCTGGTGAGATCAACTAAAGGCTTCAATTGGAGGCTGTCGGCAGCAGATGTCAACTCGCACAACCTTTTTGTATCCAGTCGTACAAACTTCTCATCAAAAGTTTTACGCTCCTATAAGGAACCACAAGTGAAACTTAAATTAGAAAACGTATATATCCGACTTTCGTAACAGGTAGCCTATGTTACCTAATTCAAATTCTAATCCTAACGTCATCAACAACATTTTAAAATATCGCAAACAGGACAAACAGCACATGTAAATAAAATCCTTTACAACCTCTTTGGCACTTTTGTAAGCAGCAGTTTCTGCATTCTTTAGTTAACTCAAAGTTTACTGCAGGTATATATATCTGCATCTAGATAGAACAGACCTTGTTAGAGCGGCCTGGTGCAAGATGGAACCGACAGTAATCAAATATTAATCCAAGGATAGCAGGAGTAACTCGCTGTGGAAGTGATATTGCATAGTTTTTGGAAGATCCCATTCCTGTTCGAAGAATTTCTTGGCATATCATCGGGCAAAACATAGCAACCTCCTCTTCCACTTGTTGGATTGAACAATCAGCAGTTTGAAGCCAGATGAAAGATTTCATCTTGACATACAAAACCAAGTAAATAGCAAGTAAGAGAAGCTTGTAGAGGCAACAAATGAGTGAGATGCATAGACCATTCATGCATGTTATAAGAAACACATATGCAAATAAAACAAATCCTC